CGGGACCAGTTGTGGTTGGAGTAAGACCTACTCTACCGATTAAGAGCGTATCATTGTTGTTGGGGAACGATTTGGTTGGGGGAAAGTTGTTGCTGAACCTAAAATGGTTAACGAGTCGATTACTGTTTCATCTAAGGATAACGTTGTAGTTGAGGAGAATCCCGATGTGTTTCCCTAGTGTGCTGTGACTCGAGCTCAGGCTAAGAAATTAAGCCCAAAACAAATGATAGATACGGATTCAGAGGACGATATTATAGATTTGTCTCAGACATTTTTTGGAACCGACAAGGATCTTGTGGATGATTGTCCTATTGACGATTTCTCAGCGAGGAACAACGATGGACGTGAGGGATCTGATTCACCTAGTGAAATTCCGTTTACTAAAAGTAAACTGACAAGTAAGCAAGAAAAAGATCTACAGATCTCTTCACTATTTAAATATGCACTCCCAAAAGATGAAGTGGAGAAAGTTCCAAATGTTTATTTTTTCAAAAATGGTGTGCTTATGAGGAAATGGAGACCACCAGATGTGCCAGCTTCAGAGGACTGAGTTATTGTTTATCAAATCTTTGTTCCCAAAGCATATTGTTCTGAAATCCCCATGGGAGATCATTTAGATGTCAACATGACGTATGAAAAAATTATGAGACATTTCTTTTGGCCAAAAATTAGGCAAGACTTTTCTCAGTTTTGCAAAACTTGTCATACCTGTCAGTTGGTCGGAAAACCTAACCAGAAAATTCGTCTTGCTCCTCTGAAACATATACCGGCATTCGAAGAACCATTCAGTCATGTGATTGTTGACTGTGTTGGGCCTTTGCTTAAACCTCGATCGGGGAATCAGTATTTGTTAACTATCATTTGCGCATCCACTCGATTCCCAGAAGCTATCCCTTTGAGAAACATTTCGGCCCAAAAAAAATTCTAAGGCTTTGATCAATTTCTTTATTTTTGTTGGATTGCCCAAAGAAATTCAATCTGATCAAGGATCAAATTTTATGTCAGGATTGTTTCAACAAGTTGTTCATCAGCTTGGTGCTAAACAGATAAATCTAGTGTGTATCATCCAGAATCACAAGGTGCTCTTGAGAGATTCCATTCTACCTTGAAACATATGATGCAGACTTACTGTCTCGATAACGAGAAGGATTGGGATGAAGAAGTTAATTTATTATTATCTACTGTTTGTGAGTCAGTTCAGGAGTCATTAGGGGTTTAGCCCGTTTGAGTTGGTGTTTGGCCATTCAGTGCGTGGCTCTTTGAAGTTGCTGAAGGAACAATGGTTGGAAGATGATCCAAAAGAAATGCACTTATTGGATTACGTTTCCAAGTTACGGTCCAGACTCTTAAGTGCTTTTGAATTGGCTCGAGAAAATTTGAAGTCATCCCAAGTAAAATGAAAAATGTTTATGACCGTAAGGCTGAGAGTGTAAGTTCCATCCTGGTGACATGGTCTTGTTACCCACTATGGGACATTCATTGAGAGTTAGGTATCATGGTCCCTATGAAGCTGTTCAGAAAGTTAATGATACAGGCTATGTTGCAAAAACACTTGATCGTCAAAAGGCTACCCAGCTGTGTCATATTAATATGTTGAAGCCCTACCAGATACGAGAAGCATCTGAAAATATTTTAACTATTGAGTGTTTTCCTAATACTGACGGCAGTTGCTTTGACTCAGACACCCATAAGTTTGAAAATATTGAAGATGATGCAACATAAAACTTAATAATTCTGACATTCTGGCCAATCTCGATTCAAAACTTGATCACTTACCTCCTGAAGAGAAAAATCAACTTGCAAGTTTATTGAATGAATACGAATGCATATTTCCAGATGTTCCTAATGTTGATGATATTATGATTTCCAGTGACACATGGGAAGAACATTTATGTGTATTACGTGATGTTTTTTAGAGGCTTAAGAAAGCCAATCTCACTGTAAATTTGGCACAAAGTGACTTCTGTAAAGCCAGAGTTGTTTACTTAAGTCAAATAGTAGGCCATGGTCCAGATTTTCAAATTCAAGCCAAAATTGATTGTATTGTGCATTATACAACTTCTACCAACCAGAAGCCACACAGATGCTCTGTCGCTTCCTCAGTAGTAAGTAGTCCAACCCTCTTCAATGTCAGCCAAGTATACTTCGTGTTTGTCCTTTATGCCCATGAGCTCAATAGTTACCCACACTGGTCCCCACAACCTTGTATAATGTCCTGTCACATGTGTAATTAATTTTGATAAAATGATGTTTGGGAACAACAAAGGCCAAATTCTAGTAACTGTTAAAAGGAGGTTGAACTAAGTAGGTGCCATCAAGCTGAAGTCAAAGTGACTGAAGGAGTTGATGATGGTGAAGTGGAACCAAGTATAGATATTAAAGCAAAGCAGGAGAAAGATCAAGATTTGAAGCCAATAATTGATTTTCTAAAAGCAAGTGTTTTGCACCCTGCTTGGGAGAAGGTGTCTAGTTTAAGCCTTGTGACAAAGAACTATTTGGCACAACGGGACCAGTTGAAGCTTGAAGATGGTATTCTTCTCCGGAGATGGGAAACTGCAGATGGGAAAATGAATACCTGGCAAACGGTTATACCGAGAAATTTACGGGAAGTTGTGCTTCGTCAGTTCCATGATAGTTTACTAGGAAAACATCTCGGAGTTAAGAAGACATTGAGTCACCTACGACAGAGATTATACTGGATAGGTATGAGGCCAGATGTGGAAGAATGGTGCAGGACATGCAGTACATGCTGTGACTAAAAGGGAACCCAAGCACAAAGGACGTGCTCCAATGAAGTTATATCAAATTGGCACACCAATGGAAAGAGTATCCATTGACATTGGTGGTCCTTTGCCCCAAACTCGTGCTGGAAACAGGTACATTTGTGTGGTGATGGATTATTCTACCAAGTGGCCTGAGGCATATGCAATATCAAATCAGGAAGCTACAACTGCTGCTTCGGCTATTAGTGATTTTTTCTCCAGATTTGGTATGCCATACATACTGCATTCAGATGAAGGTCGTAACTTTGAATCAGCTGTGTTCCATGAATGCTGCAAGTTGTTTGGTATACGAAAGACCAGAACAACGCCACTCCTCCCACAGTCTCAAGGGATGGTAGAAAAGTACAATTGGACACTTGGACAAGAATTGGCAAAGTTTTGTAACAATCGCCAAGATGACTGGGATGTCATACTCCCTCCACTATTGATGGCCTATAGAACTGCAGAGTATGAAGCCACTGGATACTTTCCAGCAAAGTTGATGTTTGGTCGGGAACTTCTGTTGCCAGTGGACCTGTTAACAGGATGCCCACCTTATGAAGAGTTGCCTGAAAATGTGTCAGAGTTTGTGAAAGTGTTATCTGAAAGGATGGATGATATTCACCATCAAGTGCATTTAAACTTCAAAACGTCTGCTGATGCCATTTGTGAAAGTGTTATCTGAAAGGATGGATGATATTCACCATCAAGTGCATTTAAACTTCAAAACGTCTGCTGATTCCATTTGTGAAAGTGTTATCTGAAAGGATGGATGATATTCACCATCAACTGCATTCAATCTTCGACACGTCTGCTGATTCCATGAAGGTGTGTTATGATAAGAGATCTACTGCAGTCACCTTTGTACCAGGAGACATGGTGTGGTTGTATATTCCCAGGAGTAAGCCATCGAGGCCATTAACATATAGATTCAATGCATAATTGACCTTTTGACTACGTCTTGGATTAAGCATATATATGTCTTTAAGTATATATGCTTAAAAGTAAAATGCCTAGCAAGAATTCCGATTGCCTTATTGACAATGAAACGAATTTATTATTATGTATTTATTTTTAATATTGTTAAATCTTTGTTCGTTTGTTAATTTTCCGTATAATTTCTTTCGGATGGAACGTCAGCCGTAACAAGTCCTTTCTTAAATGAAACTAGTTTATTCTTTCTCAATTCAACTTTGCAATACATTTAATTTCCACAGTCACTTTAACTTAAACACACGCTATAATTCACAATGATTTACACACTTTACTTACGGCTTGACTCAATTATCTGTCGACATCTTCAATCTCGCTGTCTGCTATTCCAGTTCCGATTAAATGTCTCACTTTATCTGGTGCGCTTATATACAGAAATAGAGGCCATTTCACAAATACTGGGTTATTCGTGATGTTCCCCGATACTTCTAGAAACTCATCACGTGTTACCACGTCAAGTGACTTCCGCTGTCGTAACACTGCCCCTTCATTAGTATTGTTCGTCCCGAACAATAGCCACTTACATTAAACCAATAGATAATGAACAATAACCTCATTAAATGCACATAATTTACAAACACAAAATTAAATTTCGACAAAGTCTCTTAATTTTACGGGACGTATCTTCTTCCGTACTGGTCTCCATCTCGTTGGCTTCTGCTTCACGTAGGATTCATCTGCTCCAAGAAATGTCTTATTATCGGTAATAGTCATATCAGTGGTAGTAGGGCTTTACTGTTTCACTTCTCAAAACCGAGTAGAGTTTCTTCTTCAATAGTGACTTTTTCAAGTGACACGTCTTCAGTGGCATATTTTGTTCCGCTGTTCTTTTCATCCGAACTGAAATGTCCTTGACTGGGTGGTGCATGCCAACAGGCTTTGGCTTTATAATTCTCCGACCACATTTTATTCGGAAAGTCACGTCTGAGAGACGTTCCACTATGTCATATGGGCTTTCCCATGGAGAAGACAACTTAGGAGACTTACCTTTGGTCTACCAGGGAATATACAACCACACCATGTTTCCTGGCACAGAGCCGACTTCAGTAGATCTCTTATCATAACATAGCTTCATGGAATCAGCAGACGTTTCGAAGTTTCAATGCACTTGATGGTGAATATCATCCATCCTTTCAAATAACACTTTCATGAACTCTGACACATTTTCAGGCAACTCTTCATAAGGTGGGCGTCCTGTTAACAGATCCACTGGCAACCGAAG